TGGAGTTGTGCTTAGGAAATCGGGAGTGGCCACGAAACCCATATCGAAGAAAAAATCAAGAACCGCAGCCAAATCCGTACTACCGGTACCAGTGATCGAAGCGAACAAACGGGCTACTCATACAACACTACCACCGCCAACCCCGCGCGACGTGAAGGAACGATGGACCAAGCGGACTGCGGAAAAGAATCGGAAGAGGACCGGGCGCCGATTCGAAGAAAATTACTCCGAATCGGAGGACAGTGAGGATCTACCGATTATCTCGGTAAAACGTACTCCACAACAAGTAACGACCACTCCGGAAGCACAAGTAGAACGCTCAGCAACAGCAATACCAGAGGCTGAAGCTGAAACCGACCAGGACACCATTCCGGCACTAGGCGGCGAGTTGGATGCTCCAAATCCAGGGGTGCACGCAACGGAGAATCCAGGGGTGCAAAACCCAGCAAACCCGAAAACCACCGGCAAGAAAAAGGGAGCCTCATCCAGGAAAGCTCGGCTGGTCTCTTACAGTAGCCAGGGGGATAGCCAAGACGAGACATCATCCACAACGTCTAGAAGAAGTGGGCGGAAAAGAACGGCGGTCACCAAAATGGGGGCGTAATGATCGACTTTATCAATCAGAACAAGGAAGGGAAAAATTGATCGTCGAATCCTTTAAACTTCAAACTTTGTTAAACTGTTCAAACCCAGGGAGAGGGTGAGTCACTACTGGCTTAAAACTCAATCGTTATCACTATCAGTGATCCTTTAGTTATTAACAAAAAGTCGTTATTATAAAGTCTGAGTTGTATACTGTAACATGGAGCTAGTAATCCTTTTCAACTATCTGCAATCAATCAACCATCTATTTTTCTAACCATCTATTTCAGTCATTAAAGTAAACCTGCGAAATTATTCTACTTAACTAAAGTTTTCATTATCGAAGGAGAAGTGTCGTATTGAGTAATTTAGTTCATTTCCAAAGCTGTCAATCAAATGTTCACTATTGGTGCTAGACTAATTGATTAGCAGGTGTTTGTCCTTGGATCTGTCTGTCACCCTTGGATATTGTTTCTAACCACTCTTGATGCTAACTTTGCAAGATTAAGTTACTGTATAAATATCTCGGAATTAACAATTGCTCGACGACAGTTTTACCTTCTCGACAACTAACAATGCTTTTCTACAAAACTCGAAGCTTTCAAAAATGGTCGTTTGCAAATTCAACAATGCTTTTCTACAAAAATAAGGGCGTAGCCGACGACCTGCAGAGAAGGTTTCTAATCACAAAGTTTCCAATTGCACTTTTAATATTAGATTGGTTAGTGTAGTTTTCTGAAAACGTTCAATATTTCATAACATGACTTTTTCTACAACAACCTTGTTTTTAAACATAAATTGGGGCTTAGTTGTTAGAATTAAACTTTAGCGCCTGTTTTTAATGATTGAACACTTTATCTCAGAATTGGCTGGCTAGCGTTTGAGAGAGGAAGCAAAAATCAAAAACAACTGAAAAAACTTCAAAGTGGTTTTTTTCCAAGGCAAAATTTATTCTCTTCAAAAATTGGGACTAAGCCGCTCATACCGAGAAAGTTCCTACCAGATATTCGTTCGATTAAATCTTTTTATCACAGATTTGGCAGAAGCATTTTTGACAAAAATTCTCAAAGAACGGTTAAAATTTGTATATTTTCTAGTGCGGTAACTGTTTTTGTCAAAAAAAAAAGACGAAAACAATTATATACTGATTTCAAAAACCTATTTTTCGGTTTATTCCAGAGATAATGAGATAAATCGAAGATTTTAGAACTTTTTGCCGAAAATAGGGCGCAGCCATTCATGCAAGGGTATTCCTTGGACTGGTTTTTTGCTATTAAAAAGTTTATCGTAGATTTGATAACATCGTTAGAAAAAAAAATTGACATTTATCAGGCCATAACTTTTATAAAAGCAAAGCAGAATAAGTGCGTAGAATTTTATGCTGGAACAAGCACCAGAATATTTCCTTTTATTAAACATTTTATCTCAGATCTGGCTGGGTAGTTTTTGAGAGATAAGGTTCAGAGCATTAAACAAATCGGGTCCAGACTACTTTACTGAAATTTTTAAAGGCCGGATAACCTCGGGTTGAGTAAAAAGAGACCAGCACATTTTGCAGGCCCCGATGAAAGTAGTCGTTCTTTCCATTGTTTTTTTTTCGAAAATCGAAAAAAAAATTCGACGAAAATTTTCCAAAACGTCTCAAAAAAAAACAAATCCCATTCATTATCATAATAACTTTTTTTTTCATTCAAACAAGAACCGTCCAAAAACCAAATACAAAAAATATAATGACAACCCGACAACAAATTAAACGAGTTACAATAATTTCAAAGTGACACCAAAAAAAGCATTCAAATGGGACTGAGATTAAGAATAAAAGTGGGGATAATAACACAACCCTTGTAAAATTAATGGGAAGAGAGTTATTGAACACCCCCCAGAAAATCAATTCCTTAATTTACTAAATCAGTACTAAAAGGCTTTAATGTTGCAAATGATAACCATTTTTTAAAATCATTTACATCAAACAGACAATGTGTTCTATTTGATGTTAATGATTTTAAAAAATGGCTCTCATTTCAAACATTAAATCCTTTTTCTACTGATATGGAATCAGAAAGTATCAAAATTCAAGAAGACAATTTAAATTGGAATTCCTCATGGCTGTGTACTTGGCCCATATCTATTTTAAAATAACTATCAACGAGCTGCCAATTGTTTGTCGAATTGTTGAAAAAACAAAACTTGCCAATGATGCGAACATCTATGGCAGAAAGGATGTGAGAAATTTTTTTTTTATTTGGAGAATTCTTTAAAATTGATTAAGTGAATTTAAGTTGACTGTTAGTGGAGACAAACCGCTTTCATGCAATTCTGACACACAAAAAAAATCGAAGGCGCTACAATCTCCAAAGTCATAAAAATCCATCGAGTAGGCATTTAGGCATTCATGTAGGTTTAAAAATTAAGTTTTACAACAGATATAACTACGGAACAAAACAAAAAACTTAAACAACGTACATCTACAAATATCATTTTTTCTCAGCGAGTGAAACAGATTAAAAGAATATGCAAAACATACTTTGAAATCAGTATCCAATTTGTAGCCCTAATTTACGGCACAATTTTTTTCCAAACAGAATAAAGAAATGGTCAAAATATAAATTAGGATAAAATTTTGTCAAAAAATATAATTTTCTTCCAAACAAACTAGCCCTGTTCTGTCAAAAAATTTCACATCACAAAAATTACCACAATTTTCTATCAATTAAATTCATAAGGATAGGACAGCAGTCTATGTTGACGTTGTCACTCGCAATGAGTTGAGTAATCTCATAGCAAGGCAGAGTATAACTACATATTTAAAAGTGCGAAGTAGCTAGTAAGCTTACAAGTTACAGCAATGATTAATCATCATGACTTTGAGTTATAGTAAGAATAGAATAAAAAGACAAGCCTCGAAAAAATTAAATTCGTGTTTACAATTTTTTCCAACAATTTTTCAAAGGCCAGAAAACCTTCTTTCAACGATACTTAATCACGACTCTATGCAAAATAACGTTAAGCACAAAAACGACGCTGCACTTCACAAACACAAGCGAGAGAAGGACAAATAGTAGCTCTTAAAGGGTTTTGAAAAAAAAAACAGGAAAAAGACGTTAAAAGTAAAAATCCGATCCGATGTGCCGGAATCGATCCACCGTCGTCGAGATTCACCGTCACGCGCCCTAGCGTCTATGCCATTGCCGCTTCAAAAGAGTTAAATACTAGGGGTCCAGCTGAAGCTGGATGTAGCTATTGATATTTTAACACACTGTACTGATGCGAAAGGTTAATTTCCGAAATTTTCTGACACAAAAAATTTTTCAAAAAAACTCTGGTGCAGAGAAGATTCACAAAACATGTTCTTTCACAACACCTAAGATTTTGCAGGGTAGATTTCGAGAAATTAAAAATAACTTGAAAAAAGTTTCAAAAAAATCCCCAACCGATGTTTTTGAAGTTTGTGAAAGCTTTAAAACGTCGAGGGAAGTTTTAAAAGTAAATAATGGGTACGCAAGCAGACAGGCGATAATCTATCTTTCTTTTGGTTTTTTTTTTTTGAAAATTGACAAATTAGTTCGCGGAAAAAAATTAAAAGTAAAAAACCAAATCCGTTTTATTGTTATATCTGTTTTTTTATATAAAAAAGAAACTAGCTACCAATAAACCAGATACAAAAGCAATGCTATGCAGCAACAGTAAGCCAGATTTAAAAATGCGTAAGTGCCTCTTTTATTTGAGACTTAGGTTGATAAAAAAAGTGGATATCTAAGAAAGAAAATACGATCCGTTTGTGTAAAAGAAAAACAAGTTCAATTACACGAGTTATTGGATGAAATACTGTTTCACATTTCTTTCTGAATGAAATCATCTAAGATGAGTCATTTTTATCAGATTTTTTAAGAAATACCCCCGACGTGGGCACCTGAGCTCGGTATTTTAACATCAAATTTTATCAGCCGTTTCAGTTTCTTCCTGGAGAAGTCTAAGTCGTGGATGTTATTTGTTTTGCGGCTACTTATTGATGCGTTAGATAACTTGAATTGATATGACTGAGTGTTTAAATAACGCTCAGAATCAAATCGGCTGAATTTAGTCATCTGTTTTTCATGACGCAAGACAGTTTTCAGTTTGTTTTCGGAACCACATTTTGCTTGAAAGGGGTTGAATTTTGTTCTCCATTCAAATTAATGTGACTTTGTCTAATGTACTTAAATAAATCAGGGTGCACCTAAACTTGAGCTTGAGGCTTCTTAGAAAAGATGAAAGCGTTACACGCCATTACCAGCTCCTAACGTTTTTCGAAATTTTATTGGTTCGATTCTTTTCTGCATAGGCCGGTCTCAATGGTAAACTTTCAATGGTCTGAAACTTTGTCTCAATGGTCAGAAACTTTTCAACAGTTTTACTAATTAGAAAAAAATGTAGAGGAAATTAAATTGTTTACACGATCTGATCAGAGTTTATTTACCATACATACGACTTCGGCTACTAAATCCGATTGCATTAAGAGTCTGAAATTTGAACTCAAAACAACAAAACTCAACCAAAAAAGCACCATTTTTGAGTGTCATTGCAAAATTCAGTCACATTTTTTTTGCTTTCTTTTACGCTCATTGCTTTAAAAGTGTGCTCAGCACTATCTAAGTGACAATCGCTATACTAACATTTACGAGATAAATGTGCATTTAGAAAAGTAAACCTGAAAATTGCAAGACACCCTGAAACTGCGAGTTGTGAGTAATTTTTGAATCAACTCCACGGACAGTAAAAATAAAAAGCAGTTCAGTTTCACTTATGCCATCTATCGGCTGAATGGGTAGAGGTAGCGTGGGATCTACTGCTGCTCCAACTCTGGTGATGATAACTATGGCTGTCAGCCGAGTGTTTAGACCCATTCCTTGGGTGTCCATGGGACCCCGAATGATGAGATCCCGAGGAGTCCCTGGAGTGGTTTGAAGAGTGGTGATAATTATTGTTATTCATGTACCTTCCGCCACTTTCATTGCTATGGCTACTCGGGTGCACACTAGGTTGATAAGGGTTCACTGAGAGCTTTTCTGAAGATCCCGTTGGTGTTGCCGTATTTTGATACAACTGGCTGCTACTTCTTGAAAACGGGGGTTGATTGGGCGAGCCTGTAATTGACGAGCTGGGAGGCGCGCTGGAAATGGATCCATTAAGATGGTTGTTTTGGGTAGGTACAGGTACCGTGTAAGGTGAGTTGGATCCCATTTGATGATGTTGTGCCTGTGTATGATTTGGGGGGTAGCGGTTTGGCTTAAGGTTGAAATGATTCATTTGAGGCATCATCATTGAGCTCTGTGAACTCATAGTAGACTGTGGAACTTGAGTGAAAGGTATCTGTTGATGAGGGAATGATGGTTGTTGCACTGCAGAGGGATTGATCCCATTTGAGCCATGGGCGTATCCTGGCGAATTCGTTGATATTTGATTATTAGCTACACTAGACGGCGCTTGAGGAGGTTGGGGCATCTGTAAATTAGAAGACATTGGATAGAAAACATTCGGCTGGAACCCGTTCATGACTTGTTGGTTATTGTAACTTATTGATGTTCCTGGTTCCGTTTTAGCTACTTCATTTCCTGTTGGCATTTTGGGCATGGTGAAAACGGAATTTGTTCCAGTGGGAAGTTGGTATCCAGAAGACCCTGGTTGACAGTAAACGATAACTGTCTGACTATTGGACGACGATGCTGGCGTTGCAGCAAAATAAACTGTTGGCTGAGCTGCAACAGTTTGGGGTGTAACTTGAACTGGTGTCTGTGATTCAACTTTGGGAGTTATGCCGTGATTTGAAACGGTTTGCTTGCCTTGCGGGGTCGACGCTGACGATTTTGCAGCAGAAGTCTTTGAGTGGCGGCTTTTCTTTCTCAAAGGATCTTCAGCTGATTTTTCTCGGCCATTTTGAGGCGCTGATTTTACTCCTGTTTGGGAAGTAGGAGTCGAAATTTTACTTGAATGTCGTTTCTTCTTCACGTCTTGCTTTAATTTACTTCCAGACTTACTGTCATTGTACAGATCCAATACTTGATGACAAATGTCATCTAATAAATCTACACTGAGGTCGTCAAAAATATTAAACCACCAGTTTCTGCGATCGCTTACACCTTGCATGGCGTTTAAATCTACATTATTAAATTTTCCTGCTAGCTGCAAAAATGCAATGGCTATTATTGGAGGTTCCCACTCTAAGCACAAGGTTGTTCTTAGACTGTCGTTTGCAAAATTCCACGCAATTTGAACCAACTTTTCAACCTTTTCTTTGGACCCCTTTAACGTTTTGGCGTACTTGGTTATATATTGGTGCGGATGCTCCACGATTAAATCAAATTGAATAGCTTGCAGCAGAATTCGTTCATAAGTGAGCAATTTGTGATCAAAACCTTCAAATCCGACCATTTGATCTTGCTTCAAAATCTCCGTGGCTGCTTTCCAAACTACCTTCCACTTCTTAGGCGTTTCTTCAACTTTCCCTGCCAAAAACAGACAGGCAGTCGCAGTAAGGTATCTCGGGTACTCGCTGAACGAATGAAACATGTAAAATCGGTGAAAATATGTGCACGCAGTAGCACAAGTGACATAATGAAGTTGCAGGTAATTTCCGAGTTCCATGATGTAACTGGCACCCTCCTTGCGAAAGGTCCTTTCTTGCAGCAGATTGAGTCCATTTTTTATTGAGGGTGTCTTGGCTAAGTCGCCCTTTTCATAATACCAACTCGGCATGTCAAATCATCTGAAACAAAATGAACCCATTAACTGAATTTTGACCGAACGCTCTGCTGCGAGCCTTAGATTTAGTTCAAGAAAAAGGTGGAATAATGTAAATTTTTACCATATAAGAATAGGCATGTCATTTAACTAATCTAATTATATAATTTTACAGTTTATTCGAGAATAGATACGATTTTTATTTATTGATTAACACAAATCACTTCTGATCATTGAAAACTCCAAATCCGAAGTACTGAGACACCAGTGAAAATCCATCGGACGATGAGTTGGACAGCTTGAGATGAAACTCCTCCTGCAGATGGGATCTATTGTTCATCGACATCCACTGTTCGTTGAACCTCTGATTATTCGCCACGCACAGTGGACACTGGTCATTCTCAGAGTAAGACTCAAAGCAATGTTGATGGTACGAATGACGACAGTAGAAATGGACACTCGGATTGTACAAATCCTGTGCACACGTTGAACACTTACTCTTCTCGGGAAACTGTTGAGGTTTCGTTTTCACGTTATTGATTCGCTGTTTCGAGTTCTCAATTTCTACTTTCAACTTCGATATTTGTGATTCCTCTTCCTCAATTAGATTTGATTCCTGTTTGAACTTTCTTGTCAGATATTCTTTCAACACTCCTACTTTAACATCCGTGTTTTGAGCTAAACTTTGGACAACCAGAAGTGGCGAGAGAAGTTCTCGCTCCTCGATCACTTTCAAAATGTACTTCAAGTTCTCTCCCATACCATCTGATCTTTCGTGTTTTCCAAAGAATATTAGCGCATCTCTCCACAGACTAGGCTCCTTGTCGCCATGTGCTTTGCACATCTCAATAACCTTATCAAACTCTAAATGATCCATATGGTATTTCACAATGTGTTTGTACAAATGAGCCTTTTCATAGAGGTACAAAATACCCTCTCTAAAATCATGCATTTGGCACAAAATCAATGCATGGTCCATATCATAGGGAGCTTTAGAGTCCCTGAGTAGCGTCATGGCTTTACTTTCAACTTGGGTTGATTTTCTTTCCATACTATCAGACGAGCTTGTGCTCTGGGTTTCACGTATTATGGAATCAGTATACTGTTTCAGGTAGAGTTCGAACAACGTGTTGTATACTGTTGGACTCAAATTTGGCACATTTTGAGTCATGTATTCCAAAAACTCAACCAAGTAATCTGGTTGCATTACATATAGTTTAATGTAGTCTGTAGGATCGGCACGCAAAGGTTGCAGAGTCTCACGATCTGTACCAAAATTTGTGCATAGCGTCTTCAACAAGTCGGTGGTCTTTTTTGGCAACGAATCCACAAGTATTTTGCCATAATCCATTAAATTATTTTTGACTACTTCAAAACTTTGCTGGCTCAGATAAGTTAGCGCATCCTCGTATTTCTTTAGATCTTCCAGCAAGATCCGGACATACCATTGGTGCTCGTGTTTGATACTCGCCAAACGCAGCGCGTGATCATAATACTGGGCTTCTCTGCAGACCTTAATAGCAGTGTGCACATCGAAGCTCTTTTCGTCTTTGGACCCAATGAAGTTATTCAACTGGGTATCATCTTTCAGCTTCGTGTAGCAGTTCAGCAGAAGCGTTGTATGTTCGGCCTTCGCTTTTTTCTCGTTGTGCAGTTGTTGCAGATATGTTGTAAGGTTATGAATTCTGTGGGCGTCCAGAAATTTTCTGATCACGTAACTGGGCTCCAATCGGTCGATGGTCTTGATGTACTGCTGGACCGATCCATCAAAGTCACCTCTTTGATACAGATAATCACCGTATTGCCTAGAAAAAAATTAGTGTTTTTCGGGATTTTCCCCATAATAATATGAAAATAAATCACCCCTCTTTATACCTTGAAACAACTGTACTTACTTCGAGTGGTAACGCCTACTTGCTGGTACAAGCGATAAAGTAAAAGAGAGTTCCAAATAATCTTCAAGTTTTATTTCAGAAGAAACTTACATGAAAATATCTGTTAATCCTTCCTTATCGTACTGTTGTGTTTTTGCTAGACTGATGGCCATGTCAAACTGGTTCTTACTAAACAGAATGTCCAATTTCTTTTGCGTATCCAGTTCTCGCAGCTGACTGACAGAATTGTTCACCCCGATCAGAAAGATCGAGCCCCACTCACAAACTACGCCTTTTATACCTGTCATTTTCACAGCGAAAGCAATGTACTTATTTGCGACATCATACACATTAACGGTGAACATGTCTCGAACAGGTGTAAGGGCAGCCCTGGCAAACTCTTTTCCTCCGTGTAGGGGAACTAAGTTATCTTTTGTCACTGTGATGAGGTAATTTTTATGCCACACCAAAATAGTTTTCTCTCCTTCAAAGGCCAGACATTGGCCTTTTCCATCCATGCTGTAGAAATAAACTGCTTCTGAAATTCCGGTCACTGAAATAAAAAACAGGTAGTACTGTTGATCCCAAAACAACCCGCGGATTTTCCGTTAATTAGACTGAGTTTTTGCTGTGAATTGATTTGCAATTCCTCTGAAATGAAAATATGCTGAAAATATATTTGTGAAAACTGTCGTGCGGACCCTAGAACTTAAGCAGCGGGGCTGACACCCCAGTGGCATATCCACAAATCTATAACACCCTCAAACGATCAAATACACACACACACACACGTCAAAAAAATAATAAGCGGCCACTATGCCGATAAAACATTGGCCGAAACCTATTAAGCCAAAAAAAACAAAGTCGAAAAAAAACTCACCCTCAAAACAGAGACGCACACTCAAACTTTTTTCGCCCATCGAAAAGCGCATTATGCGGCCATTAAACCAATATAATACAGGCTGAAACAAGCCGAAAAAAAGCCAAAAAAATTGTTGCCATGAAAAACTTAACAAAAATTTCTATCAAGATTTTCAGCATTTTGTATGTTTCTCTTAAAACCATTCGAAATTAGGCCACTAAGCCTATATAAAATTGGCCCGAGCCTACTAATCCGAAAAAAGGGACAAAAAAAAAACAAAATAAAATTTTAACAAATCGAGTTGGAAAAATAACTATCATCATAAAAAGCAAATTTTGAAAAGGACGGATATTTAAAATAACAAACTCAACTATGGTCAACATTTGCAACCGAAAGGAGTAGGATTGCAAAGAGGACGAAGAAAGAGGATTTGTGAAGGAGTCCAGAAGTTAGTCCTGTGGACTAAGTTGTTTACGGGAAAAAAGTCTAGTACCTGATTGCAATACCCTAAAATAATAATTACGAGAGTTAACCTAGTTGATTGTCTTGAGATGTGTCGCTCAACACAGCACATTTTTCGGGGCAACCCTTCTCGTTCTCTAATTTCTGCACAAGCTCATATTTTGCATCAATAACATACGACCAAACTTTTGTCAAAGTTGTCATGTACAAGTTGATCCCCTGCACAGCTTGGCTAAAAACCAAATTGGTGATCCCGTCACTTGGCCTATGTTCAACGACTTTGAACTTTCCGCTATTCTCTTTCGTGACATCTCCTTTGAAAAGAACAATCACTCCATCGGAAAACCCTGCTGCTAAAAGTGTCAGATTTTCGTGAACAACAAAGCAGGTCAAACTATTTGATGGGTTTGCATCTTTACTCGGGTTGACTTTCAAGCTTCGCATGCACACCGGCTGTCCGTTTACATCAATTTTGTCAAGATTGTAAACTTTGATCATATCGAGTGACGAATTCGCCTCTCTTCCACTAGCAATAAGAAGGTTGGTCATTTTCAATTGCTGCATAGACTTTACATTTCCCGAAAACGCTTGAAAGCTAGTGCGTTCAAAACCACGATCAAACAGATGGATAGTTCCATCGTCAGCTCCAAGGCAAATACATCCTTTTCCACTGGCAGTGCACGTTAAAGATATCTGCTTTAGACCGTCCACAAGACTGGGATCCGAAATAACACGGTCTTCTTTCTCGAAGAAGCGGAATTTCCGCCATTGCATACGAGCCATTTCACTATCTGAAAAATATGGATTTTAAAAAACTTAAGCCGAAAATTTAAGGATTTCAAAATTCTGGCAATCGACTAGCGTGGTAGGCGATTTTTATTAGAAGAGACAGTAAGCACGATACGTCTAATAAACATTTAAGAGCGTTATTGGGCGAAAGACGAAAAGGCCGGAATTGTTGAAGTAATTTTTTTTATTTCGATTGAAAAAGGAGACACCTCACAATTGCGACAACTGAAAAAAAAAACAAAGAAAACGAGAAGGCTCGCAGTTTTGATACGAAAAAGTGAGAATTTACAATAAACTATCGGACGAACGATTTACTTATGTTGTGATAAACTTATTAAATAGTTTTATGCAATATGGTTGTGTGCGGGTGAGAAGAAGCCCACTTGGGATTTTAGAGACATGCTGAAGTCTTCTACCTATGCACATTGTGGGAGCCAGCTCTCTTGCAGGAGCAATTAAATCACTCCCAAGGAAACAGCGCGAGGCTGTTTTACGATCAACAACTGCTATCCCTGGGTTATCCTTGAACCCCTCAACCAAGAATACCTGTAAGCGGCTGCAACTACTCCTTCGCAGAGGTCACCTATCAAATAAAAAGGTGGTTCTGTGGCACGATCTCATCAATAACTCCATATCTGCGCACCGTTCCAACGTCTATAACGCGTGATCCCGGGAAGAACTCCTGGATATCCTACGAGCCCATAAGAATCGGATTGAAGCAATCATCTACACCCATCGACTATTTACTCCTGACATATTCAAAGATCTCCTTCAGCTGAACAAGAAGACAGGAATCCTCATCATTCTCGCAAAGAAACTCAGCTCCTCAAAAAAGAGAAAGTCAGTTGCCTTCCTTAAGGACTTATCTCAGATACATCCCTCGAGCAGACTTGAGCTTCGCTTCCTGAGAACTTTGCGATCTCACGCAAACCTGTCGACACTGTTGAAGACCAAGCGAGGAAAGAAGAAGAGGAATTCGTTTCCGAGAAATTGAAGACAAAACAACCAATAGGTAGGCAACTCCTTGTCGTTCTTCTGAATCTTCAGTGATTCGTTGGACGCCGAGTTGTTTTTGCCAGTTGGTTATTGTATGTCGCTTTTTTTTTATATTCTTTTGGGCGCGGTTGGTTGTCCCCACCATAACGAGTCGTCGTCTGCCGTCTGATCCCGGTTATTATCCAACGATAGAAGAGCTCCTTCTGGCTGAGTCTGATCTTTCAAATTTTTTGAAAAAAGCGAACAAGACGTCTTTACAGTGTCTTATTAAAGAAGCCCTATCTCAGCTTACCCATATGCGCAGTGGGTTTTTCGAGTCTGTCAAAACTTCGCTGGAATCTATGAAGGAAGAGATCTCTACCAACAACGAGAATAAAGGCATGCTTGACTCCTTTCGTCAAGCCAGCACAGAACTTGTCAATGAATCTCTACAAAAGACTATGGTAGAAGTAAAAGATGAAATTGTTAAATCTACTTCTAAGAGGCAAGCAGAAGTCACCCGATCAGTGAACCAGGCACATCCCAATGGTGTCGATTGTCAGATAAGAATCGATGTCCTTCCTGAGGCTAAGAGAGGGTCCTCTGAAGTTCACATTGTTAATCAAGAAGCGGCCAAAGTTGATGCTGTGTTAAATCGTTTTCAGGAGTCGCCTACCATATCTCAGGTTCGTCGTCTAGGGAAGTTCGATCCCGACCGTAGTCGTCCCAGGACCGTTCTGCTGACTGTAAGTAACATTTGGGAGGCTAGAAAAGTGCTTGCTAAGGCTCCGTCTCTGAAATCATTCGAAACGTGGAAAGTCTTCCTCTCACCAAGCCTTGGACCAAAGTACTTAGCAACTGAACAAAAAGGAGGAATCTTATCAATAACGGCACCAATCGAAGCCGTCTTCGCATCAAATATCTAAAGCTGTACCTGGATAACAAATTAAATACCGATCTTAGCCTAGACAATCCTGCCTCATAGACAAGCTGACTAGATATCGAACACCTGGACATCTTTTGCTTCAACGCGAGAAGCCTTATAAGTGCCCAAAGAATGTATACTTTTTCCAACTTTGTAAGTCAAAATAATTTTGTTTACTTTCGATTTGTGAGACCTGGCTTGATTCTAGCTTTACGGATGGCGAGCTCTTTCTCAACGAGTACTGCTTAGTGCGGAGCGAAAGGATTACTGGGCTCCACGGCGGCGTCTTAGTAAGAATTAGGCATATGATTTCTTTTGAAATTCTACATTTAGATCTTCCGATGGGTGCTTGCTGTGTCGCCATTCGGATAAAGACTGGTAGCCCTTTTATTCTTATCTCTGCTTACGACCCACCCTGTATTTCTCGCTACTGCTGATCAGTGAGTCTTCTTAGGGATCTGCTTTCTAGTGTCTCCCTCCAGGTGCCCGATACACCAGTTCTCCTGACTGGCAACTTTAACCTTCCAAATGGAAACTGGGATGACATGCTTAGCCCCAACACATATGAGCAGGAATGTATAAACATCTTCATTATATTTGGCCCTAATCAAATGAACTGTCATTACACCACCAGTTCAAATATTCTTGATTTATGCTTAACAGACACGCCCAATAAGCTGATCTCAGTGCGCTTGGCTCCGAATCCCATCAAGGGAAGCATCTCCTTTTCTGACCACTTCCCCATTTGTGTCCGGATGAATACAGCTTCCTCTTCTCCTATTCCGCAGAAGCATAAAATTCACAATTTCAAGAAAATGGACAATGATGGATTGTCGCTGGCGATACATGAGTCTCCTTTTCAACCATACTGTTGGACAAACCTGAGCCTCATGATGGAGCTCCGGCACAATTGGCTCGACCCACTCCTGGCTAAGTTTGTTCCCTGTAAGACTCAACTTCCTCCTTGGATCACACCCCCGACGTCGAATCTCCTCAAGAGATTCAGGATAATTGAAACGCATCTAAAATTGACAACTAACTACACGTCCAAGTTGTCCTCGCTCCGTCTGGCCGTGTCTTTGAAGTGTGACGAGGATCTTGCTTCTTATCAAATCAATATTGCCGATTATCGGGACACTAAGAAGAATTTCCAGCATCTCAGACGCATTAGGAGCGGATCAAGGATTCCTGCGACAGTTACGAATGGCTCTCTGAAGGCTAATTCTCCCCTCGAGCAATCTCAGCTTTTCAACAGTTACTTTAAGTCCGTGTTTAACCCCTGTTGCAACTGCACCAACTTCAGATACACATTCGAGTATACTCAGGAAGGCGATTTTGACACCAGTCTCACTAAGATTACTTTAATTCTATCCTAGCTGGATATCTCGAAGTCCAAGGGAGCAGATGGTATCCCGCGTTGTCTTTTGAGAGCATGTGCACAACAGCGGGCTAAGTCGCTCTCATACTTATTCACCAAAGCGAAACAAACAGGCCGGTTCCTTTCTCAATGGAAAGTTGCTCGTGTTATTCCTCTCTTCAAAAATAGTCCAAAGGATTAGTGTCTAACTATCGCCCTGTTGCTCTTCTCTCGTGTACTAGCAAGGTGTTTGAGAGGTGCATTTACGACCAGTTGATAGTGATTGTCGGTCCTCGTATCTCTGATGCTCAGTTTGGATTCAGAAAAGGTCGTTCCTGTGTGCTGCAGCGGTTAGTGACGATGAGTATAATTTTCGAGAGCAGGGAAAAGAAACTTCCTACCCATGCTTTGTACCTGGACTTCAAGAAAGCTTTTGACAAAGTCGATCACTGCATTCTCTTGAGAAAATTGCGGCCATGGAAGTCTCTGGCTACCTATTAAGGATGATCCAAGATTATCTCTCTGGACGCACACAACACGTATTTGTCGAAGTCTGGGTTAGCGAAGACTGCGACGTTTCCAGTGGGGTGCCCCAAGGATCACTTCTCGTTCCTTTCCTTTTTCTCGTTTACATAAAGGATATACCAGAGTCATTTGATATGATATAACAACCTTCGCGCTCTCTTGTTCCTTTTAGCTGATGACAGCACATTTATTGCAACTAATTGCCTTCTCAGTGACTGCATCATTGCCCTAGAGAATTGGGTTCTAGACAACAAGATGTACTTCCATCCAACCAAAAGCAAAGTCATCAACTTCTACGGAACTGCGCCCGCGTACCAACTTGGCGGTGTAAATTTTGAAGTTATTAACTCCCATCGGGATCTTGGAGTAACAGTTTGTAGTGCTCTTAACTGGTCGGAACACATTTCGAAGCGTCTGAGGAAAGCCTACAATACTTTCTTCGTGCTAGAGTACCTAATTGTTGTGATAAACTTATTAAATAGTTTCATATTGGTTATGTCGACGGGACCACACTAAAGGACCATAATCAACTGGACTACAACAAAGACGATCACCATCATCTGGATCACCAGTGCTTCGGACATCTTTGCGATACCAACAGACGCCAACGACGATGACAGGGAGAGGTGGACGCAACCAATCGGTTTCTGATTGTGATGTGATCTGGGAGAAGCTCCTGATTGACTGCTCCTACTGCCATGAGGTATGGACTGAAATACAAGTGCCAAAAGGCAAGAAGCCTAAAGTTAATAGAGGAGACTACATGTGCGGGTTGTGTGCCGTAGATAATGTTGCCAAACTGACATCAAAAGTGAATGATTTTAGCAAATTGTTGCAAACGGAAAGAGACGAACGTATTTTGCTAAAAGCTGAATTAGCAGAATCTGAAAAACAAGCTGCCGGCATTGAAACCAGTTTTCAAGACAAACTCTCTACATGTGAATCTTTGAAGAAGGTTTTGGGTAACAATGTGATAAAGAAGAACGACCAATTATGGACCGAAGTTGTTTCTCGAAAGAGGTTGGTAAGCAAACTGGAAGAGGATGTGGAAAAGCTGAAAACCAAGCAGAGTGTACCTTAGCCAGATGATGTTGAAAAGCTAATTAAAATCAACGAACGACGGAAAAGAAGCGTGATTATTCGTGGGTTACATGAGAGTACTGGGTCAGATGAGGCAACAAAAGCCAAAGAGGATGTTGAGTTTACGAAGCCACTTATGCCTAGCAACCAGCCCTTTTGTGCTGCTAGGATTGGACAACCGCGGCTTCTCGCACTTACTTTCCAGTACCCGGGCGCTGCCGAAGAAATACTCCGAAAACGATGGTTTACCTACAATGACCGAAAATACTACTACGACAGAGATCTCTCAAAATTTGATAGAGAACAAGCTTACAAAAGCAGAATTGCCAGACGCGCATCCAATATGGCAAGCGAATAATAACACAGTTATTTCGACGAAGAACGATACGTCAATGTTGTTAGTTAATATTAGAAGCTTGTCAAATAACTGGAATGAGTTCTTACTTGAGGTAGTTAACAGAAAACCTGATATTATCTTTGTTACTGAGACCTGGGCTCACATTGGAATGAACAAAAGTGAGTTTTTATTTCATAATTACCATCCACCATTCATGCACCGCAGCAGCAACCGACGTGATATCAGAGGAGGTGGAGTGGCTATATATTTTGCCAGCTATATCAATGTAAGAGAGGACGATGCGCTTCTGGTTGAGAACTACGATGCGATCTGGTGCAGACTTCTTTATTCCAATCGAGAAGTTGTGCTCGGATGTTGCTATCATACTGAACCGAGAGACGACGAAAACTTTGCTAACTGCCTGTACAAATTGTCTACTGGAAACATGGAGAAGATTGTAGCTGGGGATTTTAATCACCGAAGTATTGATTGGAAAGCTCTGTCATGCTCGGGGAGCATTGCAGATCAGCGGTTCTTGGATAAAGTGCAAGATTACTTTTTGTCACAGCACGTTGTTGACCCAACAAGAGGGCAGAATGTGTTAGATTTGGTTTTTTCGTCGGAGCCAGACCTCATCACGGAATGTATCGTGGAAGGGAAGATTGGATCTACTGATCACAACACAGTGATTTTTTCGGCAGCAATCAAACAGCGTAACTTGAATGAGAGAAGTTTCAGCCGCAGAAATTTTTGGAAGATGGACGTGGGAAGCCTTCTTTATGATTTGAAAGGATACGACTGGAATTCTCTCCTTATTGGGGATGCAGAACAGCAGTGGAACATTTTGATGGGCACTCTTAATAATCTTATCTCAAAGCATGTACCGTTTGTCGAACGAAGGAAGCGAAAGTACCCATGGATTACAAAACAGGTTTTGCGGGCGTGTAAGGACAAGCGACGTTGCTGGAAGAATTTGCAGAGCAACAATTCTGTTGAAAATGAGTTGAAGTACATGCAGGCAAAACGAGCATTGGACCAATCTGTTAAATGGTCGAAGAAAGATTTTGAAAGAAAGCTGGCGAAAGATAGTAAGTCTTTCTGGAGATACTTTTCCGCAAAGAAGAAATGTCCAACGAAGGTTGGCCCTTTGAAAGAGGGTGATCGTGTAATTGAGAAGTCTGAAGACATGGCGGAGCATCTGAACAGTTACTTCCAATCTGTATTCACTCAGGAGCCAATAGGCCCTGTACCCTATGCTGAACCACGAACTGATTTTAAGATGCCAAATATATCGATCACTGTTGACATGGTCCTTGCTCAGCTGCTCAATTTGAGAGTTGATAAGACAGCAGGTCCGGACGGGATCCCCCCATTGTTTCTCAAGCTAGCTGCACCGGGGCTAGCTGAACCACTGACTAAGATATTTCGAGAATCGCTGTCATCCGGAGTTGTGCCGACTGGGTGGAAAGTTGCTAATGTATCTGCTTTGTTCAAGAAAGGCAAGAGAAGTGAAGTAGCAAACTACCGTCCCGTAAGTCTTACTTCAGTGATTTGTAAATGTTTTGAGCGCATTGTTCAGCAGAGCGTTATTGGACATCTGAAGGAGCATAACCTCATTAGCGACACTCAGCATGGATTTATGAAAGGACGAAGTTGCTTGCTTAGTCTTCTGGCATTTTTCGAAAAAGTGGACGAATTGTTGGACAAGAGAATGGCAGTAGATGTGTTATATCTGGATTTTGCAAAGGCTTTTGACAAAGTTCCACATAGACGGCTACTTGAGAAAATGAGAGCTCGCGGGTTATCGGAGGAAGTGATCAAGTGGGTGGAAGCATGGCTGAAAGACCGCAAGCAGAGGGTGGTAATTGATCAGTGTTACTCCAGCTGGGAAACTGTGTTCAGTGGAGTCCCGCAATGTACCGTCCTTGGTCCCACTTTATTCCTGATTTTCATCAATGATATTGACGACAGCCTTACGAACACCATGTTCAAGTTTGCCGATGATAGTAAATTAGTCGGACCGTCAAGGAATTTGGACGACAGAGCGAAGCTCCAACGTGATCTCGACCTAATGAAAGCGATGGAGGAGCGTTGGTGCATGAAGTTCAACGTGGACAAGTGCAAACACTTGCAGATCAGTGCTAGAAAGAGAAACGTCGATGGAAGGTACACATTGGGGCTTGCCGAAATCGAGAACGTTGATTCAGAAGTGGATTTGGGTGTTACTGTAAATTGCTACGGAAAAAGAGTTGATCAATGCTTGAAAGCAGCCAAGAAAGCCAATGCAGTTTTAGGCATGAACAAGAGGACCATTCAATGTCGTGACCGAGAAGTTTTAATCCCACTCTACAAGTCCTTAGTAAGACCACATCTATAGTACTGCGGACCAGCATGGAGACCTCATTACAAGAAGGACATCAACACGATCGAGAAAGTTCAACGGAGATTTACGAGAATGGTGCCTGGGCTGCAAGAACTATCGTACGAGGAGCGGCTGAAAAAGTTGAAGCTAACAAGCATGTATGAAAGATTCTTGAGGAATGATCTGATTTTGCTGTACAAGATACTGTTTGGACATATGGATGTAAATCCAGCGACATTCTTCAAACTGAGTCGTAACACGCATCTGAGAGGACATATTCTATAACTGGAAGGACGCAAAGTGAACCTGGACAGAACCTCTCACTCGTTTGCAAACAGAGTTATAAACGCTTGGAACAGCCTGCCCGAGAATGTTGTACTTGCACCGACCATTGAGACATTCAAGGAGAGTTTGCACAAGCACCTCTGCCTTGAAAACCCCGGTATAATGGTTTCCTAACCGCTTCCGGGATGCCACACCACAATATGATGTCCACTATGACAGATCATTCAAGCCTGAGTGCGTGTGGCGCACCAGGTATTAGACCAGGTAATAGAGAGAAACGTGTCAAAACGCTTAAGCACTCTGGCCAAGATGAACTTTTATAAAAGCACAGTTCTATCAATCCTCTCCTACGCTTCACCATGCTGGTATGCTTCAGGGGCTGACATGAGGAAACTGTAGCAACTTCAACGGAGAGTCAGTATATGGATTTTACCACATATCATCGACTACAAGGAGCGTCTGACCGTGCTAGAACTTTTACATATCCCACTTTATTTACAGCTTCTGGACATCCTGACCTATCAAAGATATGCAACGGACAACATACCATCAGCCCTGAAGATTATGTAGAATTGAGACACGGTCCCCGAAGAGAAAGCAGAATGATTCCGATATCGCGTCAACCGAAACTCGAACTCTCTCATCAGGATTTCTTCATTCGGACATCAAGACTCCTTCGAGTCCTGCCCTCTATCGACGTCACCAAGCCTATTGGCTGGAAACCCAAATTTCTTTGCCTTTTCTGGAACCATTTTGACACAAACTAAACAGAAAATAATTTATGTTCATGGAGAATAGGTTGCAGATGCAGCGGTTGCATAACTAGATATGTTTATTCGGGACACGTTCCCCTCAACTTGTGATGTAAAGCCAATTTATTATGATGATTATGATTATTAATTGCGTTATGAAAGGGTCGATTCATCTCCGATGGATACGGCATATAACTCTGAACAAAACAAATAGTAATAATCATGATAATAATAATGACGCATTAGCCTTCTTTCTAGGAGTTACAAGAGTAATAATAGAAATAAAAATGACGTGTTTATCTTTTTTTAGGAGTTACTTCGTCTGGAGATACTGAGACCCCTGGTTTGTCTTAACAATTTTCTACGTGTAAACTGTAATTTTAATCTTGTCACAAGCGAAATGTTAAAGCCTTAAAATTACTTTGAATCGTATTTTCCGGGGTAATGCTACATATGTGTTATTATGGCGTGTCATGTAATTGTTTTATATGATGTTTATAAGATGCTGTCTTTCAGATAACTATTGAGTTAAAGCTTCTCCCCCAAGCCGTGTTTTCCTCTACACAACAATTTAACTCAATAGTGTCAATGAAGTTCAAACCTCCGCAGCTGCCCACCAATCCCACACCTGAGCAGTGGCGATGGTGGAAGCGCATCTTCATCGACGGGCTAGCCATCAACGAGGTGGTTGAGAATACCCACAAACTCACGTTCCTCAGGTCTCACGCCGGCTCGGAACTGTATCCCTTGCTACAAAACGCGGAGACCTTCGACGCCGCCATGGATATCCTGGACGCGCAGTTCGAGAAGCCGACACGGGTCATATTTGCGAGGCATGAGCTGCTATCCTGCCGGCAGAAGGAAGGCGAAAGGATTCCTGACTTTATCAAGCGACTAAAGATTCTCGTCGAGCTCTGTGAGTGCAAACCCCTTACAGCATATGTACATAAACAACTGTTGCTTAGAGACGCGCTTGTTTCCGGATTGAGGTCCGATCATGTCCGAGCGAGGTTACTCGAACTCGACGACACCAAATCTGTAGACGATTGCATAGCACTCGCTAATGCAGTAGAGCTCTCAACTGATTATTCCAGGTCATTCCGCGCTGAAACCTCGGAACAATCAAACTCCGTTTCGGCTGTCCAGCCTTAATAGGTTGCAGGGGCGATTGCACAGAAGTACCCCCGAAATAGCCGAAACAAAAGCCAAAATAACGCGTCACATTCAAACAACTCAAACTGTGGGTACTGCGGTTTGCGTTTTCAGACACGCAGCAAGTGCCCGGCAAAGCGCGACACGTGCCATAAGTGCCAGAAGTTGGGGCATTGGGCCACTGTTTGTCGTGCAAGTACTCCAACTACAGCCGCGTTGCAGGGTGAGGAATCCGAAGGATCCCTAGCATCCGTCCTCTGTGCATTGTCTCACAACACGGAGGCGAGACAGACCGTTTATGAGAAGGTACTGATTGGTGGCGTTCATCAAGCAATTGCACTGATTGACCCTGGAGCAACCGATTGCTATATCAAGTTCAAGCTCGCACGGAAATTTGAATTGCCTATAACCGACGTTGAGTCATCTACCAAACTAGCAAACGGCGACAAATTGAATGTGCTTGGCTTCATCGACACACAAGTCACAATAAAGGCAGAATCTTATTGTTGTCGCTTACACGTGGTTGAGTCGTTAATTGCCGATTTGATCATCGGATTGGACGTTCTTGCTAGCCATCAATCGGTTTATCTTGACCTCGGCGGTCCAAAATCACCTATCACTTTCCACCTGGGAGGACGTGATACCGAGATTACTCCCCCAATAAGCTTAGAACGAGATCAGTGTACGAAAGCATGTTGCAGCATGTTCCCAATTATGACAACCGAGCCTCCAGCACTATTTCCTGACAAGCTCCTGACCGTTAAGCCGATTTCTTCCAAGTCTCGACGAGTTTCTGCTGACAACGCGCTATTCATGAAAACTGAAGTAAAGAGGCTTCTGGATCTCGGAATAATTGAGCTGTCTGTTTCACCTTGGCGGGCTCAGGCCTTCGTTTTCAAGGGACCAAGCAAGAAGAGAATGGTAAGTGACTATTCCGAAACAGTGAATCTATACACCGACGTTGACGCATACCCATTTCCGGATGTCGAGTCCATGCTTACTCGTGCGGCCGCTTTTCACTATTTCAGCAAAATAGATTTGAAATCCGCATACCACCAAATACCGTTGCGATCAGATGACAAACCATTCACAGCCTTTGAGATTGGGGGCATACTCTACCAATTCACACGCCTTCCATTCGGTGTTACAAACGCCGTCCCAGCATTCCAGCGAATAATGGATAGCTTTATTGAAAGAAACCAATTGCGCTGCGCCGAACCGTACCTCGACGACGTCTATATCGGTGGGATCACAAAGGAGGAACATGACCGGAATCTACACGCGTTCTTGAAAGCCGCGGAAAAGGAAAGCCTGACGCTCAACATGGACAAATATACATTTCGAACCAGGAAATTATCCTTGCTGGGACACATTATTGAAAACGGCTCGAAGAAGCCGGATCCTGAACGCTTACGTGTTCTCATGGAGTACCCAGTGCCCCACACCGCAGCTCAGCTGAAACGGCTACTCGGGTTCTTTGCTTACTACGCGAAATGGGTGTCACAATATTCACTTAAAGTAAAGCCGCTACTAGAGGCCCAGAAACAGGGTGCCTTTCCTTTGAACCGGACCTGTGTCGATGCAATTGACTCGCTCAAGCAGGGCATTGCGTCTGCATCTCTGGCTATACCTATAGCGGGCGCCGGGCCGCTCTTCCTCGAAACAGACGCATCTGGGACAGCACTAGGGGCAACATTATCACAAGGTGGTCGCCCTTTGGCTTTCTACTCTAGAACCTTGTCTACTTCAGAACAGATGCAGTCGTCAGTCGAGCGCGAGGCCATGGCTATTGTTGAGGCGTTTCGGAAGTGGGGGCATTTTGTTCGAACATACGAAACGGTTGTTAAAACGGATCAAAAATCGGTTTCGTTCATATTCTCCAAACACCGAACAAAAATTAAAAATGACAAACTCACGAGGTGGAGGTTAGAGCTGTCAGAATTTGCGTACACCATCATGTATCGGAAAGGCAGCGAGAATGTGGGCGCGGACGCTTTATCCGGACTCTCCGCTATCTCGAAAGAATCCCCATGTGTTACGTTACATTGCCAATTGCAGCATCCGGGCGTCGTCCGTATGTGGGAGTTCGTGAGACGTCATAATCTAGCTTTCTCTCTTTTAGAAGTCAAGGAGGCTATACAGGACTGTGATACGTGCAAAGAAGTCAAACCGGCATTCTACAAACCTGGTGCATCGTCAATAATTCGAGCTTTACAACCCTTTGAGAGACTGGCCATACATCTGGTCGGTCCAAAATCCGCCGCCCGAAAGACCGGTAACTGCTACGCCCTAACCGTAATTGACGAATACAGTAGATTCCCTTTTGTATTTGGTATCAGAACGATTACGAGCGAATCCATTATAGCATGTCAACGCCAATTTATTCACACAGATCGGGGCAGCCAGTTTCTCTCTTCCGAGTTCGACCAGTTTTGCTCACGAAATGGCATATCTCATTCGAGAACGACCCCGTACAACCCGCGTGGTAACGGCCAATGCGAGCGATACAACGGCACAATATTCAAGACGGTTTACTTGCGTAATTTAGGTGCTGATATGTGGGAATCTGTGTTGCTAGAAGCACTTGCTGCTGTGCGTGCACTCCTCTGTACTGCCACAAATGAATCGCCCCATTCCAGGTTTTTCAAGTTCCCGCGGCAAGCCGGTCTAGGCTGCTCTCTTCTAGAGTGGCTGAGCAGCGGCAACCCTGCATATCTGAGAAATTTTGTGCGCGGAAAGGAGGACCCGCAGGTACGACCCGTCAGCATCTCGGAGGTCATTAATCCTCATTTCGCACGAGTGGTATTCCCAAATGGACGTATTGACACTGACTCGACGAAAGATTTGTCACGGCGCAATATTCCAGCCCAAACGGATGCTACAGAACCCAGGAGCCCGCATCTGTCCCCAGTGAAGAATTTACCGAATGCCATGGAACATTTTCCAACGATCACCCCGAGGAAACCAGCAGTATCCCAGTGACGACCGAGCAGGGTGCTGAAGAAGAGGACAGTTCACCACTAACCACTCCCAAATCAACGCCAGTATCACCATTTGCCGGACCGGAGGTCCGCAGATCAACGCGCCTGCGACGACCGCCGGCACACCTGAAGGATTACATTCAATAACAAGTGGGGGTGAATGTCATGTAATTGTTTTATATGATGTTTATAAGATGTTGTCTTTCAGATAACTATTGAGTTAAAGCTTCTCCCCAAGCCGTGTTTTCCTCTACACAACATGGCGCTCTTGGGTTTTATTCAAAACATCATGATCCGCTAGAATTTAACAAAAGCCTCCGCGCCGAAAGGATGCTTACACTATGGTCCTTATCTAGCAACGAGGGTGGCCCGAAACACGGAAGCCTAAATTCCCCAATTTAGCTTTTTCAAACTACTTAACACTAAAAAAATTCAACTGTGGCGCTAATGCGGCTTTCTGGTGATTTGATTCAAAATAGAAGAATTAGTACCTTACCAAAAAAAAAATAATGAAACAAAACCGAAAAAACCACGAAGTAAAAACATTAATATCATTAGTTCAGTTCAGTCTTTTTCTGATCTTTTAGGCGTTTTGTCGCCATCATCGATCAGCTCATGATGTACTCCTTTTCGATTAATTAGTCTCTAATTTATTAATTCCGCTTTTCTTCCAATGTTTGTCCAGGTTGTTCTTGAAAGCGTTCAAGGTCTTCGAGTCAATTACTTCTCCTGGCGACATTTTCCAATCTGTAGCTGATCTAATGGTAAAAAAGTTTTTCCGCAATTCGAAGTTGGCCTTATTCGTTATTACTTTTTTGTCATTTGTCCTTGTGTCACGATTATTCAACTCGAACATGTCTTCGTAGCTTTCGGGTCATAACAGTTGTAACCTATTTGGAACATTTCGATCATTGTTCCTCGCCTTCTGCGGTTTTCAAGTGACTGTAGTTCTAGTTTCTTTAACCTTCATTGTAGCTTAATGTCTGCAGCCCTTGTACCATTCGTGTCGCTCGTCGTTGCCCGTTTTCGATTAATCTTGTGTTCTTCTTCAATCACGGGTACCAGGCTTGATTACAGAACTCCAACTTAAGCCATATGAGGCCTTTATAAACATTTAAAAATACAGGTATAGTCATTTTAATGAATGTTTTCCTAAAAACTGCAATGATTAAGTTGCCTTTTTAACTTTTGCAAAGATATGAGAATCAAAAGAGAGTTTAAAATCGATGATGAATCCAAGGTCTTTTTTTTCTCCTACCGCTTCAAGCTGTTTATCGTAAAGTTCATATGATCTTCTTTCACGGTTTGATCCTCCATTTGAGATTATCATATGTACACATTTATTTTAATTGAAAGGCAAAAGTGTCTTTTTTGACCATTTTTCCAGTTTTCTTAGATCTTCTTGCAGCAACTCAACGTCTTTGAAGAAATTTTTGCTAAAAAGTAAATTTCAAACGTTTTCGCAACTATGTGCATCGTCAGGATTTTTACAATAAACTACTCTAAATGACGATAAAACATCAATTTACAAATGTTATTTACAATAAATCACATACAATTTGGTTCTAAACCATCATGATAAAAAATTAGCCAATCACAGTTGACCTCTAAATTACTATTAAGATTAATTGAAAGGCAAAAGTGTCTTTTTTGACCATTTTTCCAGTTTTCTTAGATCTTCTTGCAGCAACTCAAGTCTTTGTTACTGGTAATTTCTCTGTATAGTTTTGCATCGTCTGCAAATAAATATAATTTTGATTTGACTGTGTTTGGCCTTGAATTTATATATATTACAAACAAAACAGGTCCCGGTACAGATCCTTGGGGAATCCCACTCAGAACATCTTACCATTCAGATCTACTGTCGCTTATCACAACTCATTGTCGTCTTGTTAATAAAAACTCGTTGATCCAGCCCAGTGTTTTTCCTTTTATCCCATATTGTTTTAGGATTCCTATCAGTCTTTTGTGCGGAACCAATTCGAACGCTTTCTTGAAATTCAAGTAGATAACATCCGTTTCTCGGCGACTATCTATTCTTTTTGTGAAATCATCCAGCACTCTCAGTAATTGTTATTGTGATGATCTACCGGGCAGAAAATTGATTCATTGTTTTTCTAGATGTTCCATTAGATGGGCTCTAATTATTTTCTCAAATAATTTACAAACTATTGATGTTATGCTTACTGGACGATAGTTGTCAGCTAACGACTTTTTCACTTTTTTGAAGATAGAGTCAATGTGAGCACGTTCCCAGTCATCAGGTAGCTTCGTTTCGTCCCAAGATGTGTTAAAAATCTTTGTTAGAACTTGAGTCAGGAAATCTCTCACTTCAAACAGAAGTTTCGGGTGAATTTCGTCGGGCCCTGGAGATTTCGATGTATTGAGTGAGTCTAGTTGCTCTTTCACCAAATTCTCTGTTATTTCTAAGTCCTTTTTGGATGGGTGATATCCAGTTCGAGAATCTTCCATTCTCCTGGTGGTTTGTGTGTGAAGACTGATGAAAAGAACTTTGCCAAACCTTCAACTTTTTCGATCTCATTGGTCGTTAAAGATCCATCATCCTGCACTAGAGCTGGTATTGCATTTTGTAACACGTCTTTCTGTCTCACATAGCTCCAGATTTTTTTTGGTTTCATTTTTACATCTTTAGTTATTTCACTTTCCTTTGCCCTTAGATCATTTCGAGTAGCTGTCTTAACAGCATTTCTTTTACTTTATACTTGTCAAACATTACTTTTGTTCTATTGCAGCAAAACTTTTTCCATTGTTTTTTTTTGGTCTGATTGCCTGTCGAGTGGTATTGGTGAATAGTAATTGTTTCTACACTCTGGATTGAGCCTTGTTAATGGTACAAACTTTTTTGTTAGTTCAGTCCGGAGTTCGCGCGAATCCGTTCAAAATTTTCATTATTGTCTTCACTGTGAAGAAACGACAAATCTTTTACTTCATCTCTCATTTGATCGTAGTCTCCTTTAGCGAAATTGTATCTAATCATGGTCTTACTATTTTTGCAGTGCGCGAGTAACTCCACTTCTATGAGAACGTGGTTGTTCTGTCCCATAGGTGGTTGGATATTAGTGTTTAGGTCGCTTAGACCGGCATCAGTTAAAACTATATCTAGTAAGGATGGTTTTTCTCCGACAGTAATGCAAGTTGGTTCATCGATGTGTTGGGTTAGAAATGCATCCCTAACTGCTTCTAGAAATTTGAATTCTTTGCTCTCCTGGTCCTTGGTTGTACTGCAATCATCCCAGTTGATTGATGGAAAGTTTGTGTCGCCCAATATTAGAGTATAATCCTTCACATCTTTTTAGCATAGTTCTTTGATTGATTGGAAAAGGCAATCGTTAATCATTTCCGGTGAGTTTGGGCTCCGGTAGACAACTGCCAAGCGAATAAATTTTCGATCAATGCAATGTCACATATCATCAATTCTTGTAACTCGTTCGGATTTTGACTAATGCAGTAGTCTATATCTTCAATTACGAAAATTAAAATTCCTCGCCCGCGGTCGTTTGGATTCATGTTTACTGACTCAATGTTATAGTTGTTAGTTTTGTACCAAGCTGTATTCCACACGGTTTTGGAATTTTTCGGTTTTGCTTCTACGAGAGCAATATCATCTGGTGGGTTCTTTTTATCTTCAATCAATTTGATCATTTCCTGATGTTTCGTTTGTGTTAGAGTGTCAATATTTGTGTACCAGAATTTTAATTTTCTAGTCTTGCTTTCTTTCTGTCTTTTAGTATCTGCTTTCCTCAAACCAGAAATACATAGTTTCCTTCTTCATGATCGTTCAAGTTTTTTGCTTTCGTAAATAGGTTTAGCACTTGTTCTCTTTCTTTCAAAGTCAAATCCGGGTTGTTTCTAAGATTTCTGATTTCTGCAGTGGCTTCTTTCAACCTTGGCAACTTTCGGTTTATTTTAATCAGATCTTGTTCAGTATTGAAGGAAACCAGCAATGGTCTGTTTATATCCTCATCGGTTTTCCGGCCGAGTCGGATCGTTTTCACAATTTGTTTATCTTCCATTATTATACTTGGTAAAAATTTTTCAACTTTTTTTTCATCTCCTTTTTTCCTTGGTTCATTGTCAGTAGCTGCACTCTCCTTGGCTTAGAGAAAGTTGATCGAAACAATATCCGATCCAACCTTCCTGGTTATTAATGCTTGATATATTTGTTTGAGGTAACGATCAACTATATAGGTCTCTCCTGTACCTGTACGATTGGATTGTCTCGAAAATCATGGTGGAAAATAAACATATTAAACTGATTAAAACATCGACGGCACTAGTGTTGGAGTCCCTTGAGTAATTGAAGTAAGTTTTTTACGAAATATCAACTTTTCTCTAACTTCAAAAGACAGAAATAAATTGGCCACGTTTCTACCGAGAGAGGAAAAATTGAATTCTGCTCGTCATAATAAATATATACATAATTAAATAAATAAATAAAAGTGATTAAAAACTTTAATATCAAAACTACGACTCCAGGTTCAAGAGTGAAAGGCATAGAGTCAAAAACTACCTTGAGTGTAGTAAATGGAATTGTTCATCAGTTAGTTGAAGGGTGTTGAGTTAAAGTTGAGGTCAGTAGTCGAAATATGTTTTGGCTTACGTGTTCCGCGGAGGCAAAGAATCGCAGTTCTCATTAGTGAAAACGATATTCATATTCTTACCCAGTTAGTAGCATCCGATTGATTGCAACTTCTTTTTAGGTAGATGAGATAAGACAACTGCGATATCATTTTACTCGTTAACGGAAAAGCATCTCCAAGACAGCTAAAAACCAGAGGTGTGAACAAACCTTGCTCTATATCGATAACACGTGAGCGGTACTTGTTGATCTTCTCTTGCTCATGTGTCTTGTAAACGGTTATCGGATTTACAGCAGTTTTGGAGAGAGCGAACGGGTTGAAAATCTTCACGT